TACAAAAGCTGACGTTTCGAGCGTTAGCCCTTCGTCCGAAACGTCAGCTTTTGTAATCGTTACGGTGGCCAATTTACCACTTCAACTTTGTTGATATATCTAAATTATTCTGTGGCCAGTTATGGACCCCATCTTAGCCACTTTTAGGCATAATTTTCGCGATCGAAGTTAGTCACCTTCTGTTAATGAATCTACCTTTTAAAGCTTTTTAAAGTAAGTCGTCATTAAATTGTTCACTAAAAATTCCAATGCTGGTAAGGAAGAAGTTATACAAAAAGGTTTCCATTTTTGAAATCCCTAATTTACGGGAATTTTCTTAGCCACAAAGCTGTTGAAAATTTGCAACTCCATACTTTAAAATCTATTAAAAATACAAATCCATTATAGTCGATTCATGCGAAGTCGTGGAAATGCAACCCCATCTAGCGGTACATACCCAGGCAAACCTTCAATACCTCACACTGAAAACTCGAACCATTTTTGCCAATGATGTCATTTAATTGAGTCGTCCTAGCGCCGCCCCTGATAATGTGCGGCTGTATACTTTTCCAAGAATTCATTGTCATAATCAGTGTGAGCAAAGCGAAGCGTGATATCACCGGCTAGCGTAAAAACAGGGGAAACTAGCTTAGGTCGGGTCGCGTTTCGCTCAGCAATCCGACCCAAGCCTCTGTTCTTTTTTCGTTCTGCTGCCTCTATCGTGCCATTTTCTGTCACACCCCAATTTACTCACTGAATTCCTAGACAAGGCTTGCACTGCTGCCCAGTAAGTGCCGAATGTCAAGGCAAGATAGTGATAAGAACTTCCCCCATTCTACTTGGATAATACAAATGATATACGAGCAAGTTAGAACTTTGATTAAAACGACTCGAAAAATTATATTCACCAAATAGACTGTGAATAATATTACGAAAATGTTTTTCGATCTTTTTGCGTGTCATATTTATCTATTATTAGTTATTATTTTACACCATGACCACCCTCCGATAAACCCTACCCCTGATCCCTTCAATCGGGTGAAGTTATTTGACAATTTAAAAACAAAAACTTAACTGTGGTCTGGATTAACGAATTTATCTGCTTTTTTTGTCATTTCAATTTATGAGCACTTACCATCTGAACGGGAAACGGATGAGAATTTTCTGTCAAAGCGATGGGGGCATGCTCCTCTGAAATTTGTGAAATAATGGATTATGTATTTAATACGTGCATTCCTTTATTTAACTTTTGTAGAGTTTTATAACGTATATTTAGAAGAATTATAAATTTTATAGGCACTACAGCAGCAGTTAGCTATCTCAAAATCGCCGGACAGTTTCAATCAGAAATTAACCTTAAATACTTTAGAAATAACGGATTCAGCTTGAAAGCGTAAATTGAATTGGTTTGAGTGAAACTGAGAGCTATGGGCCTATCGATCTCAAATAGGGCCAGTTACATAGTTACTCCGCACAGTTCAGGAAAGCTTTGCCTCCAAATTGCACTGCGCATCCTGTACTGCGCATGAAAATCACTTAATCAGGTTAATAAGTGGGCGCATTCCGAGAATACGGTATGGTTTTTCAATCAAAGCACCAGGTACTGAAAGGTGCGAAGTTTTTTTCAGTTGTTACTTTAAAAACCATTACGTCCAGCTTCTGCAGAATGTGCCGTGACCCGATGTAATAACGCGCTTATTAAGTTCCATCACAGGCATAAATGGGGTAAGTTTAGGCCGTCATATCTCTCAAACAAGCAAGGTGACCTATCTTTTTTATTGTATTTTTATCATTGGTAGGGAAACTACCATGGAAGGTTTAAAAATTGTTCAATAGCTTTTCTTCTGAGGCATCACCTTAACTGTAGTTCTTCCATTTTTTCACTTGGCCTCTCTCTTTTGTCATGAAATGTACTTTAAACAGAACAAAATTGTGTTCAAATCGAAATTCTTAAACAGTTAGGTAACTGGTCAGTGTAAAACGAAGACTGCGGACTGCAGACCGGGGGTAAAATGAAGACTGAGGGTAAAATGCAGACTGCAGACCTGGGGTAAAATGCAGACTGAGGGTGAAATATTAATAATAAAAAAACGAGTCTTAAGGATGAAATAAAGAGTGTTCGTACCCGTAAAATAATGTCACGTCAGGATTCACGAAACCCACAAAGGCCGCTTCATGTTATAATTTTTCGTGTTTGGATAGCCCACTGTCACCTTTCAGCAATATCAATTCACAAACCTCTCTTTCACAAACAATGCTCGATACCTACAAGTTAGCTTGCCTTGTTGTTGTTCTGTCGTGTTTTGCTTGCCTTGTCTTCCAAACAATATTCCAAGGCCATATGGAGAATTTAAACGCTGAAAGAGTTACTCGGTCCCAGAACTATTCGCGAAAGCACAATTCAAAATGGCCGACTTGTAAACAAAGGTAAGATGCATAGCATTACGATCCGTTTGAGCGCTTTTGGGAAACTTGATTCAACCAAATGGGGAGTTCAAGAACTCGAGGTTGATAATATGTTTGACCAAGGTGAATAAACGCCTTTTGGTTTGAGTTTTCGGGATTTTGAAAAAAAAATTACGGATACGCGTAGGAACACTCCCAAGTCTTGTTTTTTATTATTGATATTTTATTTTACCCTCAGTCTGCATTTTACCCCTGGTCTGCAGTCTGCAGTCTGCATTTTACCCCTGGTCTGCAGTCCGCAGTCTGCATTTTACCCTCAGTCTGCATTGTACCCCCGGTCTCCAGTCCGCAGTCTGCAGTCCACAGTCTGCAGTCCGGAGTCTGCAGCCCGGAGTCTGCAGTCCGGAGTCTGCAGTACGCAGTCTGCAGTGCGCAGTCTGCAGTGCGCAGTCTGCAGTGCGCAGTCTGAAGTCCGCATTCTGCGGTCCGCAGTCTCGTTTTACACTGACCGGTTAGGTAACCTCCCTATGCCCCCTTTTATCGCAGAAAATACATCACTCCAAGGAGTTTTGGTTAATTTATGTATAAAAACTGTTAAACTTAACACTCTCTCTTTGATTCATTTGTCGTCAGCCCACAACGCTTAGTTACTTGAAATTCTCTTTAGGCGGGAAATATCAAAAATGGCGCCCGTCACTGAAACCTCTGGACCCCCTTGACTATGTTGAGGACACCCCTAATGTTTTGATGTCCTACCAGAAAGTAGAGCAGTACAGCATGGCGGACTTATTTGAAGGTGTACTTTGACAGGATTTTCTGATGGTGGACGATGCGGGGGCCATTTATTTGTTTGATATATTAGAGGGCCAAGATTATGGCGAGTACTAGGCGCCGTGTCAAGCTATATACGCTAAACGAAGACCGGCAGTGGGATGACCGTGGTACGGGGCACGTGTCGTCGTCGTATGTTGAACGTTTACAAGGGATGTCGATCATGGTTCGATCCGAAGAAGACGGTTTGTGGCTATTTTACTGTCGTGTGCTTTCGCTAGTTTGGTTCTAGTTTGATTTTTTATCGAGGAAGCCCGAAAAACCTGTCGAAAGTTGACCCTGTTTCTTCGTTTGCAGGTTCAATTCTGCTCGAGTCAAAGATACAACCTCACACAGCTTATCAGAAGCAGCAGGTATATTTTATCGTTTTTTAAAGTAATGCCGGTTGTTCGTCAAACGAGTCGTGTAACTTTATTGTCAATTCTGCTTCATAGGAGACGCTAATTGTGTGGTCAGAAGGCGACAACTACGATCTGGCCTTAAGTTTTCAAGAGAAAGCTGGCTGCGATGAGATTTGGGAAAAAATTTGCCAGGTGAGTTCAGCGGCTTGCTTCTTCATCGTTCTTAATGAAAAAAAAAAGAAAAAAAAAACAGCGATAAATCACGGCTCAAATTTTGTTGCATTTCTTACCTTATGTCTCTCTTTCGTAAAAGACGTACTTGTTTGGTGTTTAACAACTCTATCATTTACCCACAAACTCTTACGAAATCATTAATGCCTGTAAAGGTTGTCTCAGCGACCATTGTTTGTTTCAGTATCATTCGCTGTAGTTAACTTTCCTTTTTTCGTTGTTCGTGTTTCTTTTTTCCAGATCCAAGGGAAAGATCCGTCTGTAACCATCACTCAGGATATACCAGAGGATGACGATTCCGAAGAACGTTTTGAAGAAGTCTTAGACTCAACAGGCCCAATCGAATTACCACCCTGTGAACTTAGCAAACTGGAGGAAATCGCCGAGCTATTTAATAGTGTTTTACCATCACCAATTCGCCGGGAAAAATTGGCATTGGCGATCGAACAAGACAATTACATTAGAAAATTACTGGACTTGTTTCACATCTGCGAGGATTTGGAGAACTTGGATGGACTTCATCACTTATATGATATTTTTAAGTCATTGTTTTTTATGAACAAGCCTTCATTGCTGGAAATCATGCTTGCAGACGATCTTGTCTTCGACGTTGTTGGATGTTTGGAGTACGACCCGAGCAAAGCTTCTCCCCAGCGGCATCGAGTGTTTTTGAAGGAAAGTGCGAACTTCAAAGAAATAATTCCCATATCAAACCCGGATTTAATAAACAAGATTCATCAAACTTATCGTGTACAGTATATTTACGATGTTATCCTACCCCCGCCGTCGATATTTGAGGACAATATGCTGGCCTCGGTGAATTCATTCATACTTTTTAATAGGATTGAAATAGTCACTCATCTGCAGGTAAGATTTACAGCTATCTTTTGGAACTATTACTCTTAATGGGTGATGTTGCTAAGGGAAGAGAAAATTGATGACGTAGTTTCGTTTCTGTTTGAAATACGAGACGATCAACTTTTGTCTAGTACAAAGATAGATTTTAACATTTGTCCGGTGCGCTGTGACACTAGCTAGCTTATGTATGAAAAAAGTCAACCCGCCGAAATAACAGTACTTGCTGAAAACTAGTGTTTTAAAAACAAATTTAAATATTTTATGGGATTTTATCGTTAGCCCTCTAAGTTGGGTCAGCCATGATTTTTTAAAGGTTTCAAACGTAGCACGTAATTTTATTTGCAACACGTTGCCTATTGTTGATCGTAATTTTTTATTTCAGTTTTTACTTTTTCTGTCTTGTGTGAACTGAGGGATTTGATATCTAGCCTGCCCAATTTTTGGTTTATTAGGACTGTTTTTGTAGTGTTTTATGGGAATGGAGACAGTATTGTAAGGTTGTCACACAGAATATGAAAACACATTGGGATACAGGTGTTTCAGAGAGAGTTTTTGACATTTCCTTTGTATTGATACTAAACATGTTGTTTGCCATACTGCATGTTCAAATTAACATGTGGGTCTCACTTCAGCCCTATGAAACTAATACGTTTAAACAAGGTGAAATAATAGTGAAAAAGAAATAGGTGGTTTGGTAACAGATATTTTAACAGGATTTTGCAACCTTAAAATCAGTCAATAGACTTGTTGAAAACATCATTGGCATATCAGCAAATCTCTTTTGCATTGGAAGAGGAAGTTTAAGCTTGAATTTGTTTTGGTTTTTTTTTTCACTTCTACAATATCAGTGGTTCAAAATTTTGTTTAGTATAATGGGAAATCCTTCAGAACACTTTCATCAAAGATCTACTCTAAAAGTGAACAATGTTCTGATCAATTGTCATTCAGTTTTATGTTCAAGGCATTTGCCTGAAAGGAACAGTCATAGATAGATGATAATTTCTGGTGAATGACTTGAACTTGAAACGACTGATGGTCAGCAATGCTTTGTTTGTTTTTCAAGTCCTTCCCTTTCAATATTGTCTGGTTAGAATTAACTCTTTCCACTTATCAGAACCCATGTTTTTAGCAATATGCATGCTATTGATGTCATTTATTGTGGCTGGAAATTTCTTTTTCCAGTGACTAGGCATACATTTGTTCTCAAAGTATGTAAGAGCAGCTTTTTTTGTGAACATTATTATGGTAAGAAATTGATAGGCTTCAAACTAACTTTGAAATTGCTACAAAACAAGAATAAGGGTGAGTTCCTATATTTTTTTTTCTGTGGTCATAGAGGTTTGGGTCTGAAGTATGGAGACAGAGCTTTTTATAGGGTACGAGTTGAAAAAAAGAAATAAAAATTGCACAGGGAAAATGTGGATTTTGTAAGGTTGCACTCTATTTCTGAAATATATTTTGTCTTCAATAGAGGTAACTGGCAATTGTGTTACATAGCAATTGTTTTTCACTTTTCCATGATTCTATCAATATGAATATTTTTCAATATGGAATAATAGAGATCATGATTCGAAGAGCATGTTGTTTAGCCATTGTCAGAAAAAACAAATGCTTTTAGAATTGCCTTCAATGTATGACAAACTTCTGAGTCATATAGTACCAAGGATGGTACAGGATGGTACAGGATGGTACAGCACATCTTAAAAAGTTAATTTTCTTTTTATTGTGAAAGATATTTAAGGGAAGGAGATGGCTCAAGATAATCCCAATTATGTCAGTTATGAACAGAAATTTTTTTTGTTATTCATTATTTTTTTATTTACTATATTCAGGGCTGTGATCTAGCAGTGCCTAGTGGCCCCTGGTGCCCTACTTTTGCTCTTGGGTGATTCAGGAATCTTAGCTTTTTAATAAAAGGCATATTCTGGGCACCCTGGATTTCACAGTTTCAGAGCACTAGGCTCCCTTCAGTTTTTCTTAGAGCACAGCCTTGATATTGGGGTAAAAAGCATTTCTAGCTGAAAAAGAAGAAAACATTAGTTAAGAATAAGTACATGTTGGTTCACTCTGAAACTCTCTTTCGTAGGAGGATGATAAATTTTTAGCAGATATGTTCTTACAACTCACTGATGAAGATACACTAGAAGAGAGAAGGAAACAACTTGTATGTGGCATTTTTGTGGTTTGATTGTAAAATTCTTTTGTATCGTGTTCTTATTGTAATTAACTACTCCATCATATCTACATAGAGTTCTGCAACTCCATTTCAAGGTAGGCTTTGATATGATAGTAGTTCATCATTTACACGTTCAAATACTATCCTGCCTCTTTAATAATCATAGTGATATGCAAGACTGCAAGATGCAGTTCATGCTTTAACCCTTAGCTCTCAAGATCTGTTTGTTAATCCTCCTCTAGCTGTTACACATTTCCTTTTAAATCAGTTTTGAGAATTGGATGTTGGACTAAAACAACAAATTCTATCCAGCAAGTTTGGGTATCTTCATAGTCTGTTTGCTGGAGCGTGTATGATCTTTAGGGAGAATTAATATGTTGATCACTTTTGTGAGGGATAAGGTGTTAATCAAGAATTAGTTTTTTAACTTTGAATATTTGTCAGCAGTTCTTTGTAATATTTCCTTCCTCCAGATAAATTTTTTGAAAGAAATAGTCAGCTTCTCCCTACACTTACAAATTCACCAGAAAGATGAATTTTTTAAGGTAAGTTTGCTGGTTTGTCAGCAAAATTATTTACATGTGGTTGTCTTTTGAAAGTGCTTGAATCTACCAGCATTTATTTGGCACTTAACTAAGGATGCAAACTGGTGGATTTAGTTGAAGCAACCAACAAAGATAAATAGAACCAAGAATGTCTGTACTCTGGCTAAGAGTCTGGATAATCAAAAGTCTGTATAATGAAAGATATGAATATTAAAGAGCTTTGCTTGGAAGGAAAAAAGGTGCTATGGATTGTAAATGCCACCAATTAAAATTCATTTTATAAATTGGACCAGAAAAGTGAAGTCCTGAGGATTGAAAAAATCTGGATAATGTAGATCCAGAAAATTGAAGTTTGACTTTAGTTAGTTGTATCCTGGTTCTCTTCCTTGTATCAGTTTTATTGTTTTTTCCAATCTGGTAAAAAGTCACTGAATTTCCAGTCATTTTTGGATAAAACCACCGTGTGTTTGCCACATGACAGTTTGTTGTATTTTATATTTTGTATTTTAATCCTTACAGGCCCTTGTACACCACGGTTTGTTACCTGCCATGGAAATGCTTCTTGTAAGTGTGTGTAGTAATTCTCAATTTTTTTTTAGCATTTCCTTGTTGGGATTGAAATAAAGTCTTTTTGTCCATGATCCTCTCCATTTGTATTCAGACTAGCTTGTCATCCACAAATTTAAGAATAGATAAGTTACAAAAAAAGTTCTACTATAGTTAAAAAAATGACCAAATAATCTTTTCTTCATCAACACAGCTTAAGGAGAAAAAGTACTCATATGCATCTCTTTGTAACAGCCTAGTTGAGTTATTGACATGTATGTGTTGAATGGGAACATTGTTGTTGTAGGTCAGTGACTGTGAAGAGAACAGACTCTCAGCTGTTGAGATGTTTTCACAAGTTGTTGACATCAGCCCCTACCTTGTAAGGGATTTCATCATGAAGGAGGGACAGACCCAGGAAGAGGTGATATATTCTTTTAGCCCTTTCACTTTTAAGATCTCACTAGTTAACAAATCGTAAACACCACAGCGTACACTATTGAGTTATGGATGCATGTGGGAGGTTGCTAAGCACAAAAGAAGCGTAAGAGTTGCACGAGGCGATAGCCGAAAGCGACTCTTGCTTCTTGAGTTCTTAGCAAACCTTCCAAGGGCATCCATAACTCAATAGTGTACGCTGTGGTGTTTACCATTTGTTTTATAACATTGATACATTGTAGCTAAAGAGTTCCCTTTTATTTAACAAATCTTACGTGACCAGATAAAACAAGCGTGCGCAGAAAAATAGTCTTTCCATTTGCTCACGTCAGCAGCGTACACCCATGGGCAAATAGTGGAAYGCTAAATTGACCAATCTGAGTGCGCGCTTTACTTTGGTTATGTTATAATAATTCTTCTTACTGTCGGCCATACAATTCTTATGAAGTCTGGTAGCAACTTTGATTTATTACAAAGTTGCTGAGACTGGTCAACAAAATAGTATGATTTTGATCTGTGGGTTAAAAGACATGAGATACTGTTAGCATGTTGTTAATTTGACCAAACTTCAATGAATTTTAGAATCTTATTTTGTTTTGTTTGTTTAAATCTGTTGGTTGCCAATTGACAAATTTTGGCAAAAATTTAGTGGCCAAGTGTATTTTTCATGCCATGGTGACTAGAATGGTCAGAGCTTGGAGAGCTGCTAATCTTTCTGATACAGCATGCCTTATTGAGGCTGGCTATTAAGTTTTGCAGCATTACTGTAAATTTGAACTGTTGTATTACAGTGTCCAGAATGTGATACTATCCTTCTAGTACTTGCATCGTGTTGCTAATAACCAATGACATTGGTGAATTTTGCGGTAGATTTGAAAAACACCCAAGTTTATGAATTATCAACAATATTTGTTCATATTCATTTCTCTGTACATACAGGATATGCTTATCAACCACATCATCGACTTTATGATATGTGATGGGGATACAGGTTAGTTTGTTAAGTACAGTAAACAAAAATGAATTTTTCATTTGTGGAATAAGCATTTCTGCTGAACCTCTTTTCATTTTATCAATCTCTCACTGTAGTTTTTTAATATTGGTATTTTTCCATTTCTTACTGCAGGAAATGCCTTTCAACTGTCTCAGCTGATAAGAACCATGCTGGATCCAGAAAACATGGCATTAGGAGCAAATGTAAGAAATTTGTGTTCTAGTTAACATAGAATTATATTTATTTCCCTACTGAAAAGTGTTACATTTAGGACATACATGCATCAGTAACTAGTAATTGCCTGCTGCAGGTTGTGATGCAGTGAATTATAGAGTATAATAATCATTTCATTAATTTTTTTTCTTTTAATCAAGAGTTTCATGGTTTTATTCTTTGTAATGTGTCATTTTTTCATTTATGCAGAAAATGGAGAAGTCTGAATTCTTGAGTTTTTTCTACAAACATTCCATGCATGTGATGACAGCACCTCTCTTTGCCGCAACCTGTGATGACAAGCCAAGCAAAGGTAGGCGATAATGTTGCATTAAATTTGATAATTATGATTCTTTAGAGAAAAAATTGAGTGAACTGTGTTCAACAGTAAAATTGTGCTGATTGAAGTTTATCAAACCGAAGTGGACCAGTCAGTATCAGTTGATCCATCAGTCAATCTTTAAATCAACCATGAAACCAGGCAGTCAATTGCACAAAGGGGGTCAGTTTCTTAAGACACTATGGTGCTGCATTTGTGGGGGTAACAAGGTAATTCGATTATATCATGTAAGTTGAATTTGTAAATTGGCCACTGTAAAGAGTTACAAAGCTGATGTTGACGAAGGGCTAATGCTTAAAACGTCAGCTTTTTAACTCTTTATGGTGGCCAATTGACAATTTCAACTTAGTTGATATGACCAAATTAACTAGTCAGTTGCACAGTTTGTTAGTTGTTCAGTAGGTCAAGCAGTCAACAAACTCATCATGCAATCAGTGGAATGACCTTTTGACCCTCAAGAGTGATTAACAATAACTCACCATATTCCCCACAAATCACCCATCAAGGTCATGAGAGTAAAGAAGATGATCACCAACTACAAAAGCTCTTGATTGTTAAAAAACATTTTCCTGGTCAGCACTTTAGGAAATGTATAGGAAATAACGCAGAACAGGGCTTGACACTCACTTTTCAACTTACAAGCCAAGTGGCTAGTAACTTCTTAGATGTTAGGACAATTTCAGTTTAATTACTAGCCAAAATGGCTAGTAGATATAAAAAACCACCAGCCAAAACTGAATTTCTACCAGTGCGTGGCTAGTTAGTTACTGTTAGTGTTGAGCCCTTCCGAAACCGTGCATACTGATATCAGGGTGTGAGGGTTATTTGGTTTGATAACTAAGCACTGTGGTACCTTTTTCTGTGTATCATAACTCTGTTTATCCATACTGTGATGCTTTTGGCCTCTTATTGTTGTTGCAGATGATTATGTCAACAGCGTGACACTTGGACATATTTTAGAACTGCTGACGTTCTGTGTTGAACACCATACTTACCACATAAAAAACTACGTCATTAGTAAAGACCTACTTAGAAGAGTGTTGGTGCTCATGAAATCACAACACAAGTTTTTAGTGTTAAGTGAGTATACATCTTCGATAGATACAAATATTGTTGTTTAATGTCTAGACCAGCTGCAGTTGATCGGTAATTTAAGATATTTGTAACTGTCTGGGATTTCCTTGCAGATTCACTGCGTTTCATGAGAAGAATAGTCGGTTTAAAGGACGAATTTTACAACCGTTACATTGTCAAGGGACAGTTGTTTGATCCAGTTGTTACAGCATTCAAAAACAATGGACAGAGATACAATCTTCTTAATTCTGCCATCGTAGAACTCTTTGAATTTATCAGAGTGGTAAGTGCCCTGTCAAACTTATTTGAAAGAGGTGAAGTCTCTTTTTTATCCGCAACTCCCTCCGACCAGCTCCTCTTCCCCAGTCTCCTCGCCCTCTTACCTCTTCGGCAAAGTTAAAAGTTTTCAAAAAGCCAAAGCTAACCTTGTCATTCCCAGTGGCGACCAAGGTGTAGTTTCTCCTTACAATATCAGTACAATATCAAGAAGTGTAGTGATGAGAATTGCCAAAAATATGAACGAGGGGACTATCATTTTGATCTAACACCAAATTCTGTGAACAAACTTTATAAGAAACGTATGGTCGAAAGCAAGGAGAATTTCCAACAAAATATTGGGAGTTGAGGGTTAAGAATTACGCTGGAAGGCGAAAGGTTGCTGCCTTTAACACGTAGACTCTGCTAAAGCACAGCCCTGCGCTCTTTAAGACTTAGCTTAACACGTATTGCAGTGATTAAAGCTCTTCCTTTTTGTTCCATGCCACAGGAAGATATAAAGAGCCTCTGTTCACATGTTTGTTCAAAATACACGCCTTTTTTTAAAGAGGTTACATACGTGAGTACATTCAAAGGGATTCTGCAACGAGATGAACAGGAACTGGACAGAAAACAGAACAGGATGCTGGAGAGGTAATCTTCGTTGAACAAATCAACTGGATTCTATAAACTTGATCAAGTCTTAATGTGGTTTTGTTAAGTTCAGGATAATTGGGTTTTATCGACTGAGCTGATAATGTAAATTGGCCACCGTAAAGAGTTTTAGAGCTGACATTTCGAGCGTTAGCCCTTCGTGAAGGCGTCATCATCAATAACACCGTTGGTAAAACCAGATTATCAATTGAAATGTGGTCTGTTTTGAGACTGATCTCTAAAATTACCAAGATTTTTACACAGTTTCTCTTTTTTTGGATTTCAATAGAGGTTCCTTGAATCATGGCACTATTCATGTAAACAGCCGATTAAGACGAGATGTGCGGGCCCTCGACGAGGACGAAGAATTATGGTTCGATCAGGAAGATGAAAATGGGGAGGAAACTGTCACGCTTGATCAGAGTGATCTTCTTAATGAGGAATCGTCTTTCAAAAATCGAAAAACCTTCGTCAATGAAAAGACACCACCCTCAATCGTCAATAACAAGCGGGTGAGTTCATCTATAGTTATGATAAAAATACAACAGCAACTGAAGAAATTAAAAAATACAGTGTCGTTTGACAGCGAAAAAGCTTATCCTATTTGATCAATTTTCCTTTTAGTAGCTATTCTATGAGAAAACGTTTTAGCATCAAGAACAACAAATTTATGGCGAAGGAAAAACTGCTTTGGAGAAACCGAGCAGTTTGTACGTTCACGCGACACGCTCACGACCTCCTCAATTATTTCCTTTTCATCAGTGACTTTTTCTACAAATTGTTTATTTATTTGTTAACTTTGTTTATTTTTTTCTTCCACAGCCTTTGGTTGGGCTTGTTGACTATCCTGATGATGAGGATGAAGACGAGGATGAAAGTGAAACGACCAGTCCTGCGAAAAGAGCTCGTCTGAATGCCTCCTAGCATCTGCTCATAAGCCGCGTGTGTGTCAGCTGCTGCTCAGGGGAATTAAGGAAGATGTGCACGTATGCGTGCGTGACAGCATCGCGTGACTTCGTGACATGCTAAGAGCGTGACAGTAGATCGAGTGAAACACATTCGAAAGACGTTTTCCTTCTCAATGGACAGGTTGATCCTAATTAATTTACCTTTCCTGCTGGAGATTTCAGTTCGACATATCTATCATTAATTATATTGTGTATCCTATGTGCATTCTAGTCGCTCGCGTGATTTTACTGATACCTTTCGGTCAAAATGATGAAAGTTATTGATCTTCTACTAATTCATAGCTAAGTTTTGTAGTGTTTTAGATCGCTGAAAATTTATTTGCTTTGTATCACAGTCCTCCCAGATCTTTTTCTCTTTCGAAACTATCCTCTTTAAGTCATTATAGCACCTTGGTGTTCTTCCAGATCAGACGATTCCAGATGTTCATTTTGCGCTAAGTGTTGTAATTGTCTTGCATCCTTTGCACCCGTTGTTTGATCGTGTCACTCAACGCTGTCTTTCACCTGTACTTGATAAGAGGAAATGTTCGTTGTGTTACAAGTTCAGACAGGGGCTGAAAAGGAGACTCGTTTTTGTCTGAATGTATTGACGAGGCTGGCCTCCAATGAATTATTAAATGTACTCATAGCAAGAACCACTGAAATTCCAGAGTAGTTCAAAGGCAAAGTGTCATTTAACATCTGAGAAATACTCGCTGCTTATCTGTCGTGAACATCATGATGTGTACGTGATGATGCACTTCACTTTCTTGTTGCGTGACGTTAGGAAAGAAAAAAGTCATTTCTGTGGGGTTTCTCTAGCTGCGAAAGGTTCTTCACCCGAAAACTGCTTTGGAAACGGGAAGCATGGATCAACCTGTCCAAAGACGTCGCCCTTCTGCATTATTACAAAGACTAATTTATTCCTCGTGTACTTGAATTACTAAGTGTGCCGTGTCTTGTTTTTAAACAATGGGGACAACCGTCAAGTTTTAACTCAGTTTGTGTACAGACATTTTTTTGTACAGTGTACATGAAATCCAAAAATCTTATCGTAGAAAGAGAGAATTATAATAATAAACTGTAAAAAGTGACTTTCATTCCAGTCGTCACGCCGCATTTCCAGAAGAGAGTGGGTTTGTCACACAACACCCTTTAGGAGTGTAGCGTTACGATTGGAAATACTCACTGAGAAGCCTAAAGTAACGTTGGGATGACGGTAGAAATTTTATTTTCTAAGATTAGTTCAGAGTGTGTGGAATTTTATTCTTGTTTTTTTTTTCTTTTTTTAACAATATCAGTATCTTCAAGGATGTTTTAGCCACATGTAACTTGTGTGATTCTGTTTAGTTCATGGGTGCAAATTTATCGTGAAATTTGTCACTGTTTTAGATTAATCCGAAGGCATGGTTGGTCCGGTAGCGGAGAATGTTTAATCCGTCGAGGACTAAAGGAACTGAACAGAAGTGTAGATTCGTTTCTTTCGGTGTAGTTTACTAAACTTCGTGAAGTGGAATAAGATGACAGTAAAAGGAACCTGCTAAAAGAATGTCTTAATGAAACACTGCATTCTGTTCCCTTCAGACTAGTGCAGATGGTGGAAAACAAATATCTTAGAGGGTTTGTGGAAGATTATGCACTTTGAAATTTGCGGATGATCGTGAAGGATCAAGCATTTTACAGTGTTAGTAATGTAGTCGAGCCCATGATGTTAGATATCAAGCTGGTTTTTTAAGAATGAATTTTCATCATTCATAGTCGACAGAACCTTGCCAACGCTTTGCCACATTTCTTTTGTACCCTTGTTAAAGCCGACAGAATAAAAGCTTCAGAACTACGTTTGACTTAAATGTGTAAGCAGAAATCTGATTGGGTTTCAAGTTGATGGCTAAATGGTTAGACAGTTGAGATGATCTTGGCTGTTATTCAGTATTTCATTGCTGAGTGAAAGATCAGCGTCTACTTTTATAGCTACCTTGCCGTCTGACAAGTTCAAAACAAATTGTTGTATTCGGCTTTCTTCTGTAAAAGTTATCACGATTTTGTTATTCAACTTTGTGTTTGTGAGTATGATGATTACTACTTCTGTGCAACGATATAAGCTGTACACCGAGTATTTGTAGTAGCAGTTATGCTATCATTTACTCGGGGTAATTGACCTGTGCGAATTTTTCACGGCTAGTGACGGAGCGCTCAGCGGAGTGGATTCCACAGATGGTAGCGTGTATTAAACTGAGTCCTTGTCATGGTAATATGTTTTATGTTTTGGTCTGTCATGTCGTTCAGTTTAGTATTTTTGTGCGCCTTACGTGAGTCGGCGTATACCGGTACATACCGCTTCCCTGCCTTGTGCTTCAGCAGCCGGCTCGTATCTAGGAGGCGAGAGGGGCTATGAAACATAATGCTGTACCTAGTATTGAAAAATATCTATGCGGTGAACTTTCTTGGGATTTGTGCGTTTTGGAGAATCTTTAAGATTTCTCAGTTATTGCGGCCAAGACAATATAAAGAAGGGGAGGGGTCACGAGCAACCCAGCCCTGTCCTCTCCCAGCCCCCCTGCAACATTGCCATAGCTCACAGCTATGCAGGGTTTCCGATTCAGAAAGATACTCTTTCCTAGGGGCTAAATTATGTAGACGTTTATCATTTTAAGACTGGAAACAATTCCAAACATAGCCTGTTGGTCAGCACACGGCGCCCATGCACCAGAAATAATCTAAAATTGTACCACATTTTGTCTTACGGTCAAGTGTTTCGGTTCAGACAGATTGTCCAACCGGAATTAAGGCATCTGACAAAGACGGAATTATCTCGGACGCGAATGTATTTGGCGCCAAAGTATACTTACAGGAAATGAATTACAAATGATTATTGTAAAGCTGTGACAACTCTCTGTCTCTCGCTTTAATGAAGGTGATTTAGACAATTGTCTCACTTGTCCTGTAGAGAAAAAAACGGCAGACTTTTCTAGAATCATGAATAAACATTTCTTTCAAAATAAATATTTCAGCGAAAAAGTTTTAAACGTAATCGAACAAGATACACAAATCACCTCATTCCCAACCTACGCTCTCCTAACAGATCAAATAGGATCCCTCTGGGTTTACTAGGTTTTGTTTATCGCTTTCCTTTTTTAGTATGCCGTTTTTTTTAAGAGGATCGTTACTCCCGATTCATTCTTAACTAAATGAAAAGTAACTCTCTAGCTTTCTGGATAGGCTCATAATCTTTAGTGGGAAGAGGCGCCTAGCTGGGCCTCAAGCTGGGCTTCATTAGAGAGATCCGGATTCTGGAGTCCGCATCGCGATGATGGGCTTTCATGCTGTGGGAGATAAATCAGGACCACTTTTTTCCTTTGCGAACGTAATCAGCAAAAGAAGTTTCTCTCCGCCCTCAAAAGTGTTGTGTTTAATTGATTTCTAAAAACAAAAGAGGGATTCAAAAGGCGTGAAGGACTCGAAAATTCGCCACTTAGAATGGCCGGTAAAGTAATTACAAAGTATTTCCGGACTAGATAAGGCTATCCATTGGAAAGTCAACAGACTGAAATTTGAAAAAAAAAAACAAAACAAAACAAAATCCACACTCTTCAAATAACCACTCCCCTTCAAATTGACACCCATCCACGTTTTTTCGACTCAGAAAATTAAATTGTCGGACAGTGATAACATTGTATTCTTCAGGTATCTTTTACTTCAGACGATATCTCAGAGGTCACGAGTGATCCCCATATACACCTAAGTCTAACGCTTAATAGAATTTTAGAATGTGTGTGATGTTTATTTTAGTTGACCTCATTGGAGCGGAAATAACTTTAAAGCCTTATCGAAGTGCTGCTTTAAGAATGGCTTACCTTATCAAAATATTTTTTCTACGAATCTGTATTTTGCACTGATTCATTTGACCCTCTTTAGCTTGTCAATCTTCTGTGCTTAGTGTCTTTCTCCCAAATAGATTTTTTAGAATTCTGTTCCTTTCAAACGAGTGAATAACTGGCTCTGTAAACCAAACATAGGATCACACTTTCAAAAACTTTGATAGCTTGCGGTTTTAAGTGGTTTTTCGGTTTGTGTGCGCTAAGTGATGAAAGGAGAAGGATTCTTAACTTTCCGCGACGTCGCCGCTCATCGCGTTATCTCACACAAGACCGCTCGGTGCATGCGCATGCTATAACAAACTAGAAGCTTACGACTTAAGTTTTTGATCAAACTTAACTTCAATGCACCATGTATCTTTTTTTTGTGTGTGCGTGTTTCGAGTTTCGTGCAAACCAAATTGAGGTATATGGTTGGACTTTGATCCCATTCTTTCTGTTATAGCGTGAAACATCACGGTGGAAAGTAGCACAAGAAGTGTCTGGATTTATACTAATCGGCTCTGCATCTTGACCCACGGACCATGCCAGAGAGAGGCTAGAGAGGACTCACAGGACGCTGGTACTCATTCTGTGACCCAAAAAAATCTGTGATCGTCATTTCTATTTTCAGTAATTGAGACCTGATAGCAATTTGTAGAAATTCTCGCTCTTCATCAGAAATCGCGACATGTGTGCTCGCTTTACTTACCTCACTTATCAAATTTTAAGTACAGCTTCACGTCCGTTTTTTTTTTATTGATTTGCAAATTTGATGATTTTGGAAGCCATATCGAATTTTAATCTTGTATAATAGGACGTTAAAACAGAAAGCTTTTCCGGCGTGTGGTTTGTATCAAAAGTCTAAATGCGAAAGGACGACCCTCGCGTTGATTGAAGTTATGAGATGCCTCTTCACTATCTCGAAGACTTATCGACAAACAGGTACTCGCGTCACTTCTCCGAAGTTAGTCGTGAAATTCCCAAAAGGATTCGGATCGGATTCGTCAGACTACCGAAGATATGCATCAGCAGCGAGGTTTATAAAACTACGAAACCAATATAATCTGAACCAAATATTATCGATTGCTGATTGTATTTGTAGAGGCCAACAAAATCCTTTTTCATTATTCAAAAACTCTTTCACCATAGTGCGTTGGGGCATGTCTAAACCGTCAGCCACACTAACTGAAGCATTCTAATTTTTAACTTGTTTGAAATGCCTCGTTTCTTTTCATCGAAAAATTGGTAAAATAGTTTGTCACCACAACCAATTTTGTTCCGCTTGATTTAAACCTGTCCTGACCTATGCGTTTTCATCAAACACAAACGTTTTGAGCCGTTTTCGTCAGTAAGGCGTTCGATAATTTTAATACTCGTTAACAGAGAAAGAGCAATATAGCCCATTGCAGAAACGTGAGAGGATTGGGACGAGTTTCTTGTATTGATTACATTGAAAATCTAAACATTTCAACAGAAATGATACTGAATGAAAAGCTACCCAGCCAAGTTTGAGAGTTTTCAGCGAAAAAGTGTCCAAATTGGAGCCTTGCAAAAGTTGCAAAAATTCCATACAAACCCTTAAAATTTTTTGCCCTGTCTACCCAAATCCATACAAACTCTCTATTTTAGGTGACATTTGAAAAGCTGTCATTTTGCCACTTTCCTCCTCTAAATACTTCTATTCTTGCTTAAGACTCTCAAATTTAGTTCATCTTTCAATTGAATATCTTAGTTTTTCAAACAAACGGAAAACAACCACACTCTTTCCCAGTCCTCTCACGTTTCTGCAACGGCCTATTATGTAAGGCTTTTCAAAAGCCTCCTTTTTCAACTGTCAGTCGTAGACATGCACTATATGTTAGTTTTTTTTTTTTTTCAGAACATGCGTTTCGGAAATATCTCACTTTTAAAAAAAGTTTGGAAATATCATATGTTCATTATATTTTTCGGACAAGTCTGTTATTGTTTCTTGACAGGCTCTTGCACTTCAACCCATCGATATTTTCGTCTAATAATTCTTTCGAAAAGACAACACCGCAGACACCGAATTATACAGGAACATAAAAAGGGAAACAACAAAAACAACAAAAAACAAACAAATAAAATAAAAAAAAAAACAACAACAAAACAAAACAATGGAAAAGGCAAACATGCAGGATACAAAACGGAAGTTGTCTTTGTCATTCCGTATTTCTAATCCATTTGTTCACTCCATTCCAATGAGTATCACTTGTTAATGTCAAAGGGTCAGGTAAAGGTCGTAATTACGAGATAATCCTGGGATTGGTTTTCTTTTAAGTATGCAGTGCAATCAGTAAATATTCTTTGAACTCGAAGCTCGTGTTGCTGGGATATTAATGGCCGGAAATAGGATTGCCTCACGACTTCGGAATGTGTTGACCTTTTCAAAGTTCTAGATTAGCCAAACAAAAGCTGCCGAGACGAAGTGGAAATTAAGAACGCCCCAATATCATTTTGTTTGTAGCGAGAAATTTGCTTGTACACGAGAATAATATTTGAATACAATTGATTAAAACTGTCAATCACGCTTTTACTGTAGCGCAAAATGGCCTTGCGCACAATGAGCTCGAACTAGCCCCAGGTAGGGATTCCTGCGGGGGGGGGGAGGTTGACTCGAGCTTTTTTCGACTAATAGGAAGTGGTCATCGACTGAAAAAGAGCGGCTCTCAGGAAAAGGAAATGAAAATTATGGGTCCTGTCTAAAACGTGAGATTATGTTTCGCTACGGTGGTTGAGAGTTTGAGTACTCACAAAAATTATATGCAAATTTTCAATACAAACTATGCTAATTAACACTACCCCGGAGGGGTAACAAATGTGAATTGCCATATTTAGTCACTGGCGCGCTAACATAAAATTGGTCGTTTTGTTAAAGAAAGGCAAAACTCTTCTTAGTTGGTCGTCCGTAACGTATTTCCGAGGCGATGAAAGAGTTTTTCACAGTCTTATGTTACTATTGATTTCTCGGAAGAGTATATTTTTCGACCTACC